AAATCCAGCCCTGGGAGGAGCGGTCAGCTGGAGCTGCTACAGGCTTTTTTGTCCCAAGACTGTGTTCTGGGCAGAATCCCAACTGTACAAGAGGGTGTTGTCCTCCTCGCTATCTGGCTGGAGGACGAGTTGCAGTTCCTGTGTTCAAGTCTTGCTGCGTTTTTCCAACAGGAAGGTGCTTCCCATGTCCACGGTGTCCGTGCTGGATGACCACATCAGCCACTATCCCCAGCTGGAGGATCCGATGGGCTTCTTGAACGCGTATCTGAACTTCATCAACTCCTTCTGAGCTCAATTCTCACTCTGTTCATGAGTCAGGCTTTGGGGGCAGGAAGAAACCTTGATTTTTTTGATCTCCAGATCTAACACTCTGCACTAACATCCTAATGTTTGGCTGCCAAACTGCTGCATTTATGCAGTTAAATCCTCTGAGCACCAGAAAAAAATCAGCCTGCAGGGAGGCACAGACAAAACCGTTAACCTCAGGAGAGTTTCAGGATGCCAACAGCTCTTCCAGCCCTGCGCTCACCTTGATTCTTGATTGTCCTGTCTCTGTATTTAGAGCCAGGAGGGCTCAAGTGAGAACAGGGACACCTGAGGGGAGGCAGAGCACAAATATCAGTTCAAGAGTCCTTGCTTGCCTTCACTGCTAGGCCACGCTGCGTGCCGCAGGTAGAGAGGACCACGAGCAGCCCAGGGTTGATGCACATATTCCCAAGATGGCTGTTGGTTTGTTTTTTGAGCTGCTGTGCAGGCAGTTTAAATTTTATCCCTCTGCTAAGTGTTAAAATACTCAACCAGCTTCTCAGGACTGAAGAATTTGAAACTGAGTTGTCTATACTAAATACAGCAGGAGAGCTGGATCTGTGATCCCCCAAAGTACAGGCAATGATGCTCTGCAGCCATAAAAGGGCATTTAGGCACCATAATTGTCTTCAGTAATCTCTTTTTAATGGCCAGTTACCCAAAGGCAAGCTCTAAACCTCAAGTTTTTACCATAGCTCTTGTTTCTCTGATTTTCAGTTCAACAAGCAGAGGCACTCACTGACAATACACCCTTGGGACTGTCTCGGGAGATTCCCTGAAGCTCAGCTGTAGCACAAAGTTCTACCAGAGCAGGCTCGTCCCTGTTTCACTACGGCAAACTGAATATATGCAACCCCGGCAGTAGCAAAAGCCAAGGTTTTCTGAGCAAAAGGTATTCCAACCACAGGGACCTGAGACGGGTGTTAAAATTAGCATTAAAATAGTATTCCTTTATTCCTTCCTTCCTTCCTCACCCTGATGTGAAAACTAAAGAAATACCAATTCATCAGGAGAGAGATGCAGAACTTCCCTCATAAGGAAGTCACCACGAGGTCCCTCCTTCCCCCTTTCTTACCAGTTTTTGATACAGAATATTTCTCATCTTGGAGGCCAGGAAAAGGCTGCAGTGTTGTTTGGTATTATCTGACATAAGGCTCAGAGAATTGAATCTGCCTTGGTAGGTGAAGATTAATCTCTCTCTCTGGACATTGATTTTGCTGTGTGGAAGAGAGGACACAATCATCAAGGAATTGTAAATTTACAGGCTGACAGACTCTGCAGGTTTTGTGTGTTTTTTAACTGCTTATGTTTGAAATTTAATAGCGTCCCTTTAAGAATAAGGGGCTTTTGCTGAGTAAACAGCCATTATGGGCTACTTTTTGTGTACTGAAGCAGACAGAATTAGAACAAGAAATTTCTATTTTATTAACAGTAATTCATATGAATTCCACCACCAGTGTTTATTTTCTGTTAATAAAAAAATCAGTTTTGACAAAAAGTCTGATTCCGTTTTCTTACCACCTGCATCTTTTCCTCTTCCCTGCTCTACTGCAAGTGGGCAGAGATGCAATAAGTTAGATGGGAATGTGTAAGTGACAACGAAGGAAGGGACATGGGAAAGGCTCAGTACCAGCCAGCCACTATTGCCACTACTGTAACATCATACAAAATATTTACCAAACTGAGGAATAAAAACTACATGCAGAAGGACAGACAGGCTGCTTGATAGCTGGTAAATATCCAACCGGTGCTTGCAAAGGAGGTTTTTCCACCGCGGTCGACGTGCTGTAACGCTCAGCCTACAGAAGCCAGGATGACATCTACAGGAGTTTCTTCCTTGCTCCTAACCGTCACCTGCATGGTCACGCCATCTCCCAGCGCAAGCCTGGACCTTACCAGCACATCACAGCCGCCTCTGTATACACCTGGGGACAAAGCAACGTTTGAGAGATGACAGCAAGAGAGGCTCAGGCATCTAGTCCTAACCCAGGAGCCAACAACCTGGTGAGTGCAAGATGGATTCAGTCCATCACCAGTTGCAGAGAGGAAAGAAATGACCAAAAAAAATACCACAACCCCAAAATCATAGAATCATGAAGGCTGGAAAAGACCTCAAGGATCATCAAGTCCAACCCAACACCCCCCCAACCCACTAACCCATGTCCCCAAGCACCACATCTACACATTTCTTGACCCCCTCCAGGGATGGTGACTCCACCACTGTCCTGGGAAGCCTGTCCCAATGCCTGATCACTCTCTTTCAGTGGAGAAATTTTTCCTAATATCCAGCCTAAACCTCCCCTGGAGCAACTTGAGGCCGTTTCCTCTTGTCCCATCACTTGTTCCTTTAGAGCAGAGCCCAGCACCCCCCTCACTGCACCCTCCTTTCAGGCAGCTGTAGAGAGTGATGAGGTCTCTTCTCAGACTCCTCTTCTACAGACTGAACCCCCCCAGCTCCCTCAGCCGCTCCTCGTCAGCCCTGTGCTCCAGACCCTTCCCCAGCTCCGTTGCCCTTCTCTGGACCTGCTCCAGCACCTCGGTGTCCTTCTTGTGGTGAAGGGCCCAAAACTGAACACAGTATCTGAGGGGCAAATACTAAGCTCTTGAGACCAAGACTGAAGATAACAGATACTGTCCTAATTAAACAAAGTCAGCGAGTGCTGCTGGAGGACAAGGATGATTTAAATCTGTAGAAACCAGAAAGTGGGTAGCTGGAGCTCACTGCCAGTTTAAGAAGACAACACATATTGTAATTCTGTCATGAAGGCACAGTGCCCCTGCCGTTAAGGGAGGAACAGTCCTATGGTTCTACTAGAGCGCTTGGAAGTGGTGCTCCTGGAGGCAATTCTGACTGCAGAAGCCATCGCCAGTCCCACTTCAGCATGACTACGCAGATAGACCTGGAGTTACCTAGTCTGTGCCTGAAATAAAGTGAGATCCAACCCTTCTGTCAGACTACTATGTGCCATGTTCATTGCAGTTTTGCTTTAACAACTGCAATAGAGTTTTGTAGAGCACTTGACTTGTAAGAATTGCCTAAAACTAAGCCTGGAGTACTAAAGTTGTGGGTACTGCAGGCCAATTCAGGATGTGTTTTTAGACAGAAAGTTGAAAACAAGATGGTACTAAGAACCTCCTTCTGAGATAACAAGCAAGGAAGGTGTCTGCTCTAGAAGTTCTTCACTCAAAAGATTCACTACTGTTCCCATAGAGAGAATACCTCTGTTCTGAGCAACACAGAGTACATCTGCAACAGCAGGCTCCAAATTAAGCACCCACTGCGTTTTACACACTGGTTCACTTCATCTTTCTGTAGAGAAACAACTCTTGAAACAAGAACAGAATCTCCTAACCTATTTCCCTTCATTTAGTGGAGAAAAAAAAAATAATATCTGTGTGGGGACATGGAAACATCGAGTTCAACAGCATGAATACTTACCAGCTAAGTAGAGTGTATGAGAATTTTTGTTCTCTGGCACCTTATCTGATCTCTCACAAGCATGAATACTTACCAGCTAAGTAGAGTGTGTGAGAATTTTTGCTCTCTGGCACCTTATCTGATCTCTCACAGGGCTGCATGCCCAAAAACTTGATGATGTTATTGACAGCTTCTGCATTCAAAGATTGAAAAAGAAAATTACCTCCAGGTCGGTGCCAAGCTTTCTGTGCGAACTAGTTTGCAATTAAAGAATGCTCTCACGTGGCTTAACCATTTCCATTTGTTATCTTGGTGGCAGCCTCACTAACACACCTAATTTGCCGTGTCCTTTCTGCTGTCTTAACAGTCGAGGAACGCACCCCTCCCTTCAACCAGCCTCAAGCAAGAGAGCACTGCCAAACTTCCACTCACTGTAATCCCAGCATTGCAACACAAAGCTGGGACATCATGTCATGTTGGGAGGCACCGAATTCTCCTCCTACCACACTAAATATATCCCCAGCATGGCAGATTTACTAGGATTACTATGTGAGTCACCAATAAACAAGGAGAGATCATCTCACCATCAAGGGTTTTAATGGAACTAAGCGCAAAGGTTTCTTCTTTCTCAAAGTCATCTCCCACTTCTTCCCAGGCAGCGGCGAAGTTAGGCTTTAAAACCTTCTGAATGTGATCAGACACAGTCACCTCCAAATCTTCCAACTGACAGAAAAGCAAGGGAGATTTTCAGCTGCCAGTTACAGAAATGATCCTAATCTTAGAAAGGAAACACAGAAAAAGAGAAACAGCAGCATTTTGCCAAAAAAACTCTGTGATGGGCCACCACAATGAAGATAAACTTGCTAAACTGACTGTAAATATTTATATTTCAATGTAAATTGCTGTGGATGTTCCATCCCTGGAGGGGTTCAAGGCCAGGCTGGATGAGGCTTTGAGCCACCTGGGCTAGTGGGAGGTGTCCCTGCCCATGGCAGGGGGTTGGAACTCAATGATCTTGAAGGTCCCTTCCAGCCCAAACCATGCTGTGATTCTATGAAAAACATCTGCGAGACTTAAAGAAGAGTAGAAAATGGGGCAAAACCCATTCTAGCCCATACTGGGCATCTGGGGAGATTTTCTCAGAATCCTGAAGGAGCCTTTACTTCCTCTAAGCCCAAAAGACAGGCACCTTCCTGAGATCTGACTTGGATTTCAGTGATTGATAATACAAATGCAATAAACAGAAGTGCCAATTCTTGGGGTGGAGAGAAAGATTGGGCCACAGTCCTGAATTAGTGATAAGGGGAAAAAAACCCCAAAAAACCCAGTCCTGGACTTACCACATATTCATCGTCATAGCCATCCTCTTCTGGCACGCCTGTGTTCGGGTCACAGTCTCGAACAGTGAACTTCATTGTGCAACTGAAAGTACAAGCAACTGGGGAGGAGAAGAAAAGCCCGTATTCAGGAAATCAGACTAGTTCTAATCTTCTCTGGTATTAAAGAGATAACCAAGAAATCCACCCCGCTGATGAGCTGAGTCATGTTAAACCAACTGCAAATCCAACAGAGTTTAAGTGTGAACAATGAAAGCAAGAAAGGGAAGTTTTATGCCCAAGAAAATATCTCATTCCTAAATTTCATATTCTCTCACGAGAGGAAAAATTGCATTAGCCAGATATGGAGAGGCCCAAACTACCAATTTTTTTTTTTTCTCCCCCCTACTTGTATTTTCCTTTTACCAATTCTTTTCCTGACTTCTAGCAACAAACATCCATGTTTTCAAAGGTGCTTTCATTGATTCAAGATAATAATTTTCCTGCATTACCTGCACGCTCTCCACTCCTCTTTAACATCCCACTTTTAATCATCCAATACCACTGATCAAAAAGTGTGTATACTATTTTGTAAGAAATATGTATACTATTTTGCAGAAACACAGGTTCTACATAAAAAACAGCATTTGTGACAAAAGGAAAAACTGTACTAGAATCTCAGTATGCACTTGCCAAATCCACCCCCTAAACATTATTATCTGTTCTCCAAAAACTTAATTTGAGGAATTTGTCGTGCAGAACTACTCCCTCCCAGTGGGTACCTGCAGTGGGATCATCCTGGGGAATCTGGACGAGGGTGTAACACATGCCCGGCTGGTTGTAAGCCAGGCTGGGCGCTGGGATGCAACAGATCACGTCATAAGCGTCCGACGGCTCCATCTGCACAGTGACTCTCTCTAACAGCTGATCATTTAACGTGTTTGTGCAATCAAACTGCAGAAGAATAAATCAAAAAAGACTTGAACATAGAAGAAACATTTCTAATCATGAATTTTTCCCCAAATCAGCTACAGTACTCCACAGCATGCATCCTGCATCTTTGATCAAGCCTGCTGTTCTCACTAAACAGCTTTTCTCTCCAATTTTACTAGAATTCTTTAACAGATGGGATCATAACCCCCATCCCTTTTTGATCATTGACTCAAGCAGCACACACCCTCTCAACTCTACCTTGCAACTCCCTCAAGAGAGAGGCTGTCCTCTCCAGGGAACAGTGACAACACCCAGACACCATTAAGGATCAATGCCTATTGTACCCTGGCAAAATCCCGTAACTTCTCTTACCTGGAAAACAATATGATTTGTGAACACGTGTTTAATACAACGAACAAAATACTCTGTTTCTGCTTCTGTGAGCTGCACTGGTTCCGAGGACTTAAATAATGGACCCAAGCTCTTAAACTCTGGAATGGCTGCCAGTTGTTCTGCACAGAGAGGAAAAGAAGGTGATAGACACTTAGTGACATGCTCGTTCATTGCTCCCACCTGACCTGCAGCAATCCTCCCAACGCTTCAAGCGCTGGAGACCCACTGATCTTCTCTCATACCTTGGAATATATCCTGACGTGAAGGTGCAACTTTCTCAGGCTTGGTGGTCACCAGGGCAATCTCTGTGAAGAAAAAAGCAAAGACATTGTGCTGTCAACTACACTATGCAGGAGTTTTAAATGCCATTATATCTCCTCTAAAAATTCCCTAGCCTGTAGTGTTTTACACATTCTGCTGCAAACCACCAGCCTGGCTCCTCACACACACACTGAAATATCTTTTCTGTGAGACAGCGTTGTATTGTAAGGAGAGAAGAGGAAAGATGCTTGAGTAATGATGAAGGAACACCCTTTAGTCCAGAAAGCCAGCAAAAAAGTCTGAATAAGGAGGAGAAGGGGGGAAAAAAAAAATCCCAAACCTTTTCTTGGAAAGTTGTGCAAAGTCAAAACGCAAGAGTTGTACAAGAATGTGTAAGAAAACCAGTGAGGTGACTAGGAGCTTCTGGAATGTACTTTTTTCAAACATCTCTGAACTAACAAATTCTGATGATGTACAAACTCCTCTCTGAGAACAAGACTAGCAAAACGAATAATGACTTTCTTGCCAACTTGTATTCCTTCATAAGAGGCACTGTCTTCCTTTATCTGTGAAGATCAGCCAGGCTTACTTCTGCAAAGCCAGTGACACTGTAACCTGTCTGGCACTCAGCTGAGTCACCTCCTGTCTTGGCCCAACCCTACTAGGACAGCAGCCAGCTTACAGACGTCACGTATCATTATGGCAACCTGAACGCTTACAGCCTTGCCCACAGCTTATTTCAATAAAGCCGAAGTGTTACCTGCTTTCTGTTCAAAGATTGGTGCAGTAGCCAGCGGAACTGTTCTCATATCAAAAGGTTTGTCAGAAGGCTCCAGTGTATACTGGTGCAGGGCTTTCTCCATCCCAGGAACAGAGACGGTCAACCCTGCAAAGTAGAAGCACGGGAAGAAAGTTTCAGTTTGAATAGGGTTCACAAATGAAGAGCGTGAATTTTGGATTGCCAACTGCACCAGAAGCATTAAGGTGCTGGAGTCCAAAACACTTAATCTGTGTCTCAGTTACCTCCTTCATGAGATATAAAGAAGGAAAATTATTTTAAAAACCTCTTCTCTGTTGCCTGTCCATTGGCTCAGGCTGCACAGAAAAACTCTTGTCAGAAATCTCAAGTTTACAGCTAGATAGACACGGCTTGGGCTTTGGCCCAAAAAAAAAAAAAAAAAAAAAAAAACAAAAAAAACGGCAGGGTTCGGCGTTGGCCAAAAAAAAAAAAAAAAAAAAAAAAAAAAAAAAAAAATCGGTAAAAGCACTTTAATTTCATTTCAGTAAACACAAAATACACACTAAGTACTTCAAGATATGGTATAGAATAAAAAAAACTAAAGATGACACAGAACGTTGCCACTCCAGAGGGTCCTGCAGTCTAAACAGTTCACTCCAGAAAAGTCATCTTGCAATTCTGCTCCCATGAACTTTCAACCACTGACCATAAAACATTTTTATAACCAACCCTGGCAACAAGATGTGTCACCTTCATTTATAATGGAGAAAATGGAGCAAAGGTTAAGAAAACTGACCCAAATGAATGAAGAGACAATGACAAAAAAAGCCCCAAAGCTCTTGCTCCATTTCCTAGACAATTCTTCCCCTATTTTGTAAATTTGCCATTCTCAGTTAGGACAAGAACTCCACAGGAAAGCACTAGGGCCAGAAAAAACACCCAGTTCTGGCCTTTCTAGTTGTTCTGACCCAAATTACACAACAGAAAACTGTTCTTACAGCAACAAAGCCCACCCATAATACAGAAGGTGAAATAACATCTATCACAGACCGTTAAAAATATAGGCAGCGTTCAGTGCTATCTGTCTCTGCTGCAGTACATTCAAGTAGAACGTTGCTCTGTCCCGAACTTCATCATCGCTGTCCATCATGCACCTGTTTTGGGGAACAAACATCAATTATAGCAGATGATTTATAAAGAGAGATTCTCTCTCCCTCTTGGCAACTTCCCTCCCTCCCTGCATTTCTCAAGTCACTTCTTGCAGTTGTAATTCACTTGCACCTACACTGAGGTTGTGCTCCACAAATGAAGAACACGACGTTTATGGTACAGAGAATTTAAGGAGGCTGAATATTCTTAACAAGAGACACGAACCTGTGAACTGGGAACACCTGAGATCACTACTCAACCATACACAAAAGCTATTTATGAGCAACATGGAAATATATTTTCTTGCTTCAAGGGATGCAAGAAGATGTACTAAAGCACTGAAGAGTTATTATCAACCAAGGAACGTTCTCAGAACAGATTACTATCAGATGTTTTCCTGACTAATCACATCTTTAATTTGCTTATCTCCAGCAGTTCTATGCTCCCTCCAGCCAGGAAGGAAAGGTGGAAGACAGCCATCTCCAAACTCCTCTACCGGCCAGTGCACGTTCTGACCTGCTCTGGCCTTGCTTCTTCTGTGGGGCCAGAGCACCCAGTGTCACCAACAAGCTCAGCACACGCACACCACAGCCATACCCGCTCACCTCTGCAAAAGCACCAAGATGCTCGGAAGAAGATTCTCATTCTGGGCACCAAACTTTGCTAGTGCACTTACAGCGGCTAGAGAAGAAAACAGGGAGATATCAGAGGCGCTCAAGCTATACGCAAACACATTTTCAGAGTCATGATGCAAAGCCCTGTGTGTACTGTTGTGAAGTTTCAATTACAGGTTTTCACTTCCTCACCATAAACCTTTTAGTGTTTAAAAGATTAAATTATGGAAATAATTTCAAATGGAAATAGTTTTGTGTCAAGGAATAATGGAACAAGATCAGCTTAACAGCCCTGCAACTCTGTTCCGAGAGAACTCTATAAGGTTAGTTCAAGCTCCATGGCTCATTTCAGTTGCTGGCCCCTCTGCCATTAGCTGTAGCTCACACCCTCAGATAAATCTGATTGTCACACACAGGGGTGACATGCATCCAGTGGTGACCAGGGTCAGACTGCATCCAGACACTTTGCAAGGAGCTGAAATCCCTCAGCAATGACTTAGAGCTGCAGGTCCAAACTAATCTAATTCCAGCTCAGCATCGTCTTGAAGAAATTCCACATACAGAAGAGAAAGCTCTATAAGGAAGTACAAGCTTTATGGCCTTGGTGGTTAAAAGAGAATCCATATTTTCATAATTATGAAGTTTCTATACAATGTACGCTCTCCAGGGGATGCTCCTCATACGCTCCCAGGTCACAATGTGACCAAAGGAGCTGTCACCAAAAATCAAACACAACCTGGACCATTTGTGAGCTCATTTTGCCTCTTCTCTCCCAGTAGTACCTCCTCGTTTAACACGGATGAGATCAAGCCGATGCTGATATCCCTCCAAAGCCAAGTTGCAAGTGTAAAAAAGGCTGAACATTCTAAAGGGTTTGTTGTAAAGGCTCTGCTTGAAGGAAGTATCGCCTGCAACATGCTTCTAAGGAGGAATCCTTATCTTGTGGAGGGAAGATTTCCATGTAAAAAGATGAGAGTCTATAGCAATTATGCTCTTCAGGGAAGTAGCAGTGTCCCCTCCTCATGTATTACCTCTTGATTTTTGGGAGACATTCAAGGAAGACACTAGAATCTAATATATTGCTTCTGTTTTGCCAAGTGCTGATGCTAAGATGATATGAGGAGTTTAAACATATTGCAGGATAAAAATCACCTTCACAGCTCACGCACGTAAGAGCTAGCTCTTCATGGCGTCCATGGAGTAACCATTGCCTCCCACCCCCAAACCCAGTCTCAGTCCTGAGATTTTCAGCAGAGCTCAGACATGAAACCATCAAGATTTTGAGCTGAACTTACCAGCCCTCACGGCCTCATTCTCCAGCACCACCCTGTTGAAGATGAAGCGGATGTACTTGGACGGGGATGGAGTCCTCGGCCCCTCTTTCCCCAGCAGATGCAGGATTTTTGTGGCTAGGACAGTATGTTCGCAGTCTTCGATGAACTCGCAGAGGTGAGCCAAGCCTGATTCCTTACTCTCAGGATTCTCCTCGATGATGCTGATTATACAGTCCACAATGGCTCGCTTGTACTCAAAGCCACCCTGCGAAAGGAAAATCAAGGACACTGACCCAGCAGGCAGAGCTCAGACTGCAGTGCTGCTCAGTTTCCCCTCATGCTTCAATTACTTCTTTCCATTGGGAAAACCAGGCATTTGCACATAAAGAGAAAAAAGAAGGCGTGCGGGATGACCTAACAGGGCCTTCCCAGTCCTCTTGACCCCTACACGTACATCACCTGAGCATCTCTTCAGATCAGTTTTTCATGTACCAGCTGTAATTCATAAGCACAGGTCTGACCCACAAGATGAACAAGGTCTTGGTAATCAGCCAGGCCCCATCATTGCGGTGTACCCACTGACATAAGACAGAAGAGACCCTTCATACCATCCACCAGAGCTACCTGCCAATAACTACACAAAGAAAGCTTCAAACATACATCATCCCTGAGCATATTGGAGAGGAAGGTCATCATGACGCTGTGTTTCCGAGGGTATTTCTGGCACAAAGCACTGATAGCCTGTACTACCACTACCTGCAAAACAATGGAGAAGGACGTTAGTCACGTGTGTTTATCTTTCTATGAACAATACAGGCTTCTACCCATCTCAATTTCTCCCCTTGAGAGATGAAATTCTTGTACAAGAAGGGTAAAATCAGGCAGTGGACTCTCACCGTGAGCATGTTAACAACACTGTGCTAGCATGCTGCAAGACCTGGCTCTGCTGGAGGGGCTGTATTTAGGACAGACTACACGAATACAAAGGCCTCTCCTCCCTCCTTCTGCCCAGTGATGAGCCTGACCTTAATCTGACTTAACTAGCTACATTTTGTCATCAAAACTCTTTGCTATTTTCAACTTGTCTACTATTTCCTTTTCTCATAAAAACAAGAACTTAAGACCACTGTACGCTAGCAGACAATGATTTTGTAGAGATGTGTTGTGCTCCTCGAGGCAACTCCATGGTGTAAAAAGGTATGTGAACTACCATCCTTAACCAAGTTATTACCCAAGTTCATAGTGACTACACTTGAAAAATTAGGTAGAAATACACAGTTAACACTATTTCCTAACTTTGTATCAGATTGAAGTGATATAGACTCAATCAGAACAGTTACAATCCCTCTTCTTCTCTGAAGAGGCAAGCAGAAGGCTGTACAATGTTTTGTGGGATACAGCATGGGAGCCAGGAATCCACCAAACGACATTTCTTGGAATGGTGAGAAGAAGCGACACATAAACTGGAAAGCAGAGGAGTACACCTTCTGGTTTTGCTCTATCAGACTGTCACCGAAGGATTAACAAATGGGAAAAAGCTTCACAAAAACAAGAAGGGGAGAAAAACCTGCAGCTGGAAAGAGCAGAGGCCTCCAATGCCACACCTTAAACTCATCTGATATTTCTGACACGAAGGAAGAGATCTGTTTCATGAGCCTGTCTACGCTGCTCTCACTGCCTGTCTTCAGCAGGGTGGTGATGGCCAGGGTAGCGATACTGCGGTTGGAGTCAGTGATGAGGTTTTCCAGGTCCAGGTTGCAGGCAGTGACTGCAGACGGATGCTTCATGGCCACCTGTAAAGAATGCAATTCCAGATTATATGGGAGCAATAACATCCTACAATTCAGAGCTTTTGATGAGACAAGGATTAAAGCCCATATTTTTTTTCAAGCACTGCGCTGTTCCACAAGGATTGCAACTAAACTGACATCATATGACTGCTGGGAGGATGCAATTAAAGCTCAGGTTCTTTTGTTTCAGCATTCCAAATGAACTCTAAGTTACAACTCATGGGTTTGACAGTCAAACTGCTGCTGCTGTGGTGTGCAGCTTTGAAATCAGAACGTTATTTCCTTCACACACATCCTATTCACACTTTTTACAGTATTAAATCTGCAAAACTCTGCTTCCTTACAGCAGAGAGCTCACGAGTTATCAAACTACAGCTTGGTCCAGAAAGGAGCAAACATGAATGCAGAAAGGATTTCTGCCATGCCAGGAGATTTGGTGGAAAAGCCAATTCTCCAGCACGGAGTATTTCCAAATAAAGTAATCACAAAAAGAGTTGTTCTACTTTTGGTAACACACCATTAGGTACTGAAGTCTGTTTTCCTCTAATCCTCAGAGATTTATGCTTGTTTAGAAGGTTTTGGATGCACTCACTTTATTAAGGGTCCGTACAGCTGCATATCTCAAGACAGGTTTAGGAGAACTACAGAAAAGCTGCAGCACTGGAAATGAAAACAAAATAATCAAGAGAAGTAACAACAAAATGTTACAAAGTAGAGACTGTCTAACAAAAACCAGCTCCCAGGTACTGCAACTCTGGGCACCTGTAATGTTTGGGGAGGAGAAGGTGAAAGCCCTCACAACCATACCAGGTGAGGAAAGGGAAATTTTGATATTGAGATGTGCAAATAGTTTGGTCAGAATTCACTGCAGCAGAAAACCAGACACGATCTCTTTCAAAGAATGGGAAGAGAGAGGAAAGTCTAACGTATCCACATTCCACTACACACTGCTAAATTTTCATGCAGCACTGTTCATAATTTATCACTAGCTTCACAAGCAAGTTAAAAATAACCTCCTGTTTTTAATTTTATATCAATAATAGGTGGTTTGTGTAGTCATCTGTGGCACATCTGTGTTATCAAGTTCTCCTCTAGCTTCCCTCCCACCCCAGCTAGAAAAAGGCAAGTATTGCCCCGTGCCACCTCTAGTGCCCATGCACTAAAGCTTTGGATGAAATGGGAAAAAGGGATCAAGCTGCTTCTCATCCAAAAGCCCTCTAAGTTGGGAACAGTCAGAAAATTCAGGTTTGGAGTTCAGTATTTCAGTTATGTCTCTGCCATGGTTTACCACCGTTTTTTTTCAGATGCATCAGTGGTACAAAGGACTCTGTGACCAACCTGAAACAGCAGGTGCCAGCTCCCTGGCCGTGCAGTTCGGGAGATGGATGATGGCAGAAGCAGCTTCATAAATAACCATTTCATGCTTATTCCGCAGACAGCTCTCGATGAAGTCAAACAGCGGACTTTCATGGCTACAAACAGGAGATATTTCACAGTGGGATGCTGAATTATGTACAAACCACTAATAACTGCATTTCTGAGAACTTGACAGAAAGCACAGTCGGTGCTGTGGGTCATGTTTCTCATACCACCCCATTGCTCAATTCATACTCTAAACTTTCTGTTTACTCTTAATCTACTTTATCTATACTATCATTATCTTTACATTATCTTCTTCAAGCTAGAACTGCTGCACTCCAAAAATAAATACTTTATTATTAGGCATGTATCACATACCAGTAACAAAAATTCCCACTTATAAAAGAATTCTATCAGGACGTGAATTTCTCAGCTAACTATCCTCCCTCTGCTAGTATGAGAGATCAGAATAGGAGAGATCCTTTTGTTTACATCCCCACAATATAGGAAAATCCATATTGCATTTGAAACACATCTAACTAGACAAAGTACAAAACCTCTCCAGAGATCATTCTGCAGATTTAATCCTACTCTCAGCTAAGTTTTGGTGGTGTGGTACCACAACAAAAATCCCACCGCCACCATGCAACTGCCATGCATACCACCACTCAGTTCAGTTTAGCGTTCTGCTTCTGCTCGAGTTTTATTTTTAACACTACAGCTCTCTGTCCATGTGTAGATTTCCACAAACTTAAAAAAAAAAAAAAAAGCACATTTCCTAGCTACCGCTTACCTCCAGCTAGAATTAGTTTTTGTAATTCACATACAGCCTCTTGCTTACCCCTCTTCAGATTCCTTCAAGAGTTTGCTCGCAATTCGGATCAGCATGCAGTAGGCAAACTGGGATTTCAGTCCAGATTTAGTGAATTTATTCAGCATCTTGGAAACCGCAAGGCGATCATTTTTTCGAAGGTGATAGAGCAGCCCCAAAGCATGATACTAAGAAATCAGAAATGTGCAGGTATTGAATACACGCTGCAGCTGGAAAAGCCAGATTGTAAGACACACAAGAGGGCTAATAATCAGTTTCCTGGCAGAAATACTTTCTAACCTCAAACCATCTGATTTTCCTGACAAGTTACAAAGATCTGCAGTATTTCCTTCCCCTTCCTGTCCACCATAAGACAGCTTCAACATATTTCTGAAGATCAAAAGAGCCATGAAGTTAGTTTACTCCCTCTTCTCCCCATTAAATGTCAGAACTTCAAAGGTTTCAGCTTATTAAATCATACTGCACAATAACACTTGCATTTCTAGTACACTCAACACCCAGGATATCCCAAGGCCTTTAAATGACAGCTGACCTTACAAAAATTCTCAAAGCATTTCTGCTGAAAGTACAAAGGAACACTCCTAGTTGCTTGCCAAGTTGTTTTGGGGTTTTTTTGCCATAAGATTGATTCACAGGAAGGCTTAAAGAAGCTGCTAACTGGGTAAGAACAAAGCTGATTTCACAGACTTGTTTCTCATCTTTAGTCTGTAACACCGACTGAACAGAGAGAATATTTTCATTTCCACAGCTGTTTGGAATATTTGTGCAAATATTTTGTGAATATGGATATCTTACTGATATTCAGGCTAATCTCTGTGGTCCTGTAGCAACTGGCAAGTTTTCTGAAGGCCAAGAGATGCTGGTGTTCCGGGAGGCAGTGAGATAATTTCTTAAGTTTTTTGAAAACTCAGATTCAAAGCTCTTCTGCAACAACCACTGTGAAACAGTCAGTGGCATCCCAGCTATCAGAAGGTTCACAAGGAAAGGGCAGAGGATGCACTAAAGAGCTAATTCTTAAGAATCTTGCACTGGGATCATGGAGAAACTCAGGATTTTTTGGAACAGTTGAGTTGTTTCCCTCAAGTCACAATTCTTTTTTTTTTTTTTAAATGGGAAAAAGGAAAGCCAATTACTTTTTCTAAGGTTATCATAAGAACTTACAGAATATTATTAAAACCCCGCAGTGGGTTTCGAGATTCCTGGGACAACCACCCTCAAACATACCTGCACCATGACATTGTCACTAGAAGCTGCTTCTTGAGCTTCGTTGATCCACCGTTTGACTACATCGTAACTGATCTTCATCATGTGCTGGAAAAAGACACAAGTTGAGAGTGCAGCAAACCAACATTAGAAGCACAGTGAAGTACCAGGAGCTTTGTTTTCAGTCTTTAAGTTTAAAGACTTGGAGACAATCTAAAGCTTTGTTGCATACGACAGGTAACAAAGAATAACTCCCAAATACATGGGTGGAATGGATGCGCTTGTTTCAGTAAAGAGAAAAGTAACTCAGAGCTTTTCTGTTCAAAGAGGACAGAAGACGATACTAGGACAATTCACCTGCCTACTGTTAGTCCAGCAGGAAGATTTCAGTTGTCAGGATTACTACAGTCCTAACACAGGCTCCGCTCTGTCTCATCAGCTGGACCTCTCACCTCCTGCTCTGCCTTCTTGATTTACCTCTTTATCCTATGCACCTATAAACCACTGGTTTTCTTACATCTCAGTCTCAGACTACCATGGTTCTCTTCTTTCAGAAAAAAATTAACCTAACGAGATCTGTTCCAGCCTTTTCTCCTCAACAAGGGAGAGAAAAACAGGGAACTTCCTCATCTTGCTCTCCTACTACATATTAGCAAAAACAGTCCTGACTTGCAGTCCTGGGCAGCAATTTAATGGATTTGTTTTTTTGCAGAACAGACTGCTTTTATTGTCTGCTATAGAATCATGGGCTCTTTTGCAGTCATCAGTGTTAGTTCTTCCACAGCACAGAACATGTTTTTTCTTCTTACTCTCAGCAAACTGATAAGCACATTCATGGTCAATCAGTGTGCTTGACTTTTCAAAACCGACAAGGCCCCTCCTGAGAGAAATCAACGTTTTACGTTAACTGCTTAGAGAGATGACTGAGCACTTTGAACTTAAAATTATTACAAGTGATGTACTCTAAAGCAAGAGAACAAGGAGTTTGAGAAGACAAAATCTGGTGACAAAGCAAACTCCATTGCTACTAGTTTTTGTTTATTTTCCAGTGAGGAGATGAAGAGTCATATCAAAGGAAAAGAAGATGAAGAAATAACAAAACAAAGGGCAGGCAAAGCTACATGTAGAGCAGACTAACCTTCCCAGCTGGAAAACAGAGATTTACAATGATCTACTGCTTTACTTACTAAGGAAGACACCAGTGCAGAACTAGACACGCTGGGGACTTTGTCCACTATGGCTTGCTTCATGTATCTCTCAATGGCTTGTAACATCGTACCCTAGGAAAGGGAAAAAATAAAAATTAAAATGGTTTGGTGGCAGAGCGTAAAAGTAATATAAGGAAAAAAAAAAAAAGGACAGCATAATCAAAAGGCCCTCAACAAAAATTCTGTACTAATTCTGAAAACGCCTAATTCCACAAGGGAGACATGAGTATCATAGAATCAGAGAATGGTTTGGCTTCAAAGAGACGTTAAAGATCATCCAGTTCCAACCCC